AAGTCTGCGAAAGGACAGAAACAGCAACACAAAATCGCGAATAACCCGTAACAAATGCAGTCCAAACGGCCCTTTCAGCATAAAACATATAAAACGCGATAAAACAACGGCAAAACCACGAGTTTTGTACCCGAAAAGAGCAAAATCGCAACGCATGCAAACTCAACCAAACACCAAGAAATAACAAATAAAGCAGTGAAGAAATGTTCACAAACCTGAGGAAAACGCACGCTGTAGACCAAAACCTCGAAACAGCAAGAACGAAAACATGCCCAAAAAGGGTGTCCCGGGCGGCGTGTCAGCCAGCTGGATAAAACTACTTTTTAAATTAAGCGTTGGAAATTTGTTCACGTGGTGCTTCATGATCGCAAAACCATCGTCATGTCTTGAGTCAACCCTGGCGGGCCGCAATTGTCACTCCAAGCAGCCTTAAACACTTTTAAACTGTAGCCAGCGTTAAGCGTGAAAACAAATCTTTTAAACTCTTACGCATGAGAACAAGTCCCGAAAATCCAACTTCCCTAACCCCCGAAACCTTCAGCCATACGTGCCAAACTCGAAACACCCACTACAACCCTCAACCTATCTCAAACTCCTCAGCCATTGACTGGTCTTGCTCAGCTCGTGGCGGAAGCCTCTTCGAGGCATCTTCACGGAAAGCCTTGAATCGAAGAATAGCGCGCGCTCTCACACGCGCACCCACACATGCCAACGCACACATGCTCCCTCGCTCGCTCACACACATCCATCCTTCCACCCAGCCAGCCAGCCCGCCAGCCAGCCATCCACACCGACACGCATGCAGGCACACAAGCAAGCGCACTCATGCACCCGCGCACGCACGCACGCATGCATCCATTGCACCCATCCTTTGCATACATCATTACTATGCCAGCATAGATCCCCAAACAGTGAAAGGGCACTCTGACGACCACGAGGACGACGACGACCACTAGGACCACCAGGATCACTACGACGACTACGACCAGGACCATCAGGAGTGTACCGAGAAACCACGACGAGACCACAGGGAGATCAGTAGCAATATGGGAGCTTCCGAAAATAAGGGGGTACCTTATTTTGGGGTCGTTTTAATAAGGATCCTACTAGTTGGGGTACTATATTAGGGTCCCCTATTCTCGGAAACCCCCAGAAAGACCCACCCACTCGGCGGGATGCGGAAAGTAACCAAAGCAACAGCTCTGTCTTCGGCTCCTTACGAGACCCCATCACGCGGCCGAGTGGCGGCTCAGCCCAATACAAGGCCAATGCCAGGTCTAGGGTGAGGTTTTTAAGATTGAGGGTGTAGGGTTTAGAATTTTATAGAGTTTGAAAGTTGGTAGTTGGAGTAAGATATATATATATATAGACATATAGAGTTTGAAAGTTGGTAGTTGGAGTACGAGGGTTTAAGGTGATGTACGACTTATGGTTTCGAATGACAGGTCCGGCACCATGCTTGAGCGAGGTGTGAGGTTCCTATGAAGCAGAGGTCTGACACGACTACCCAGAGGCCCCATAGTAGTTCCTTTTTGGGATTCGGGTTTAGGGTTTAGGGTTTAGGGATTCCCTCATAGAAACGTAAATTATAAGCCGCAAAAAGGAACTACTATGGGGCCTATGGGTACATACTTCAAATCGTGAAACTCCACATAGTGTGTAGGGCAAAACCATGGCGCAAAGAGCCGGTGGCCTTGAAGGAAAGCTGCGGAGCAGGAAGAAGGCAAGGGACGAAGCATGCTCCAGTAGCCCCATGGACAAGATGTTGGCAGAAACAGGAAGCCCTAAACCCAAAATGTTAAATCCTGATCATGAAATCTTTCATGACTAGTTAAAGCTGTAATATGAACAGCCTCAACCCGAAACCTCTAAAACAAAGACCCAGTACCCTGAACCCACGCAATTCAGACGAGCACAGCTCTCAGCAAATGATTGGCCCCATCCCTGCACAAGATGTTCCTAGCTGCAGGAATGTAAAGCCGAACCCTGCTGGACACGTACTCCGTAAGCCCAAGAGGCAGAACTTCAAACCCGAAACGTAAACCGGAAGCACGAAGCTGACGTTAATGGCAATATCTCCTTGCAGTCCCTGACCCTATACATGCTATAGTATACGTATTAGGGTCTCTTCATCCGACCCTAAGCTCCGAATACTAAGCCTTCACACCCCAAAGCCTCAAACCTTACGCCCTGACGGACACCCAACAATGGGTTCCTGCCAGTACCTCTACGGATTGCCGCGAAGGGGTTGCTCAGCACTATATAATATAGGGGGCCTTCATAATTAGAATAGGGTTTCGGGTATATTTTACCACAATTAACATACGGAACCCAGAAAAACCCGATTCTGTTTTTATAAAGGCCCCTGCGCTATACGAGCCCGAGCGCCCCGGAGTGGTCCGAAAGGTTTTCCGCGCACACTGACCCTGTAGTATGATATGGTAGAACCATTAGAAGCCTGTGGCGGTTACGTATGCTTCAAAATGGGGTACTTCTCTAAAGTAGGGTGCCTGTTTAGGTCCCCACTATAGTACGGCATCCTTATAAAAAGAGCCCCGAAAGGGCCGCTGGTTTAGAGAAGTACCCACATAGAGGGTTTAGGGTCTATAGAGCCTAGGTCATAGTTAAAGTGAACTTACAGAAGGAGAACTTACAGAAGGAGCATTTGTGGGAAACCCTAAAGGCATGAACCCTAAACCTAGACCCCCAATGCCTGAACTCTGAAACTCAGCCCTAAACCATCGCTGAAGAACTTACAGAAACCTCATCGTACCATCCAAAAGAACCCTTGAAGGACGCCTGAAGCTACCTATAGTCTCCATTGTAGTTCCTTTTTTTGGTTTAACCAAATATATATTAAGGATCTTATAAGGTATCCCCAAAAAGGAACTACAATGGAGACTATAGGTATCCTGTGATTTTGCACACTCCCTCTCAGATGCCACAGCAAAGGCCGCCCTAGGAGCGATCGCCAGAGCGGCAAATGCACCTCGTTGAAGCAACGCCCAAAGGGTCCAAGTACCATTATAGTAGGTACTTAGTAGGTATTTGGCCCCAAAAGTATATACTATACTGGTACTTGGACCCTTTGGGACGGTTTAGAAGGCTTTGTAGGTCTGCGAAATTTCAGTGATCATGTATGTTTGCATTCTTCTCTTGGTGCGGGTTCCGGGGCTCCAACTGCGGCACGGCGCAGGTTCTCTCCTCGCATCCTATTATTTACGCGTCCTATTATTTGCATGTGTTGTCGGGCACGGAATACATACATGGCTTACAAGGGTTTAGGGCTGAGGGTTTAACCCTGCGTGCGCATATGCATGCACACAAAGTAAACTCGATGATGGGCCTTCGAATAATCCCGGGACAGGTTTGGTACCTCCACACAAAGGTCAACACGTGGGGCCCAAGCATCATCGTTTCGGTCAGTTCGTCTCTCCAAGGAGCTGACATGATTTGTTTTCGTGCGGCCTCTCGTCAATCGGGAAGCCGAAAATAGAGTTTGAGGGGCTAGGGATGACGGTATGGGGATGTATAGTGCATCACTACAGACCTGGCTTCATGTACGTTTTGCCGGTTGCAAATTCCCGAAAGGGTCCAAGTACTAGTATAGTATATACTTTTGGGGCCCAACTACCTACTAAGTACCTACTATAATGGTACTCGGACCCTTTGGGTTCCTGGTCTTTCGAAGACAGCTCAAATGCTCCACAGAAGTACTACGTCCAAGGCGCTGCAGCACAGAGGCTCTCGGCCTTCTTGGCATCCTCCCAGGTCTTAAGCGAGGTAGGTACTCGGTGATTTATTGCAGGTGCTTCAGGGCTGATATAGGACTTACGGTTCAGGGTTCATACTTGGAGGTTCATGGGTAGTGATAAATGGGGTCATAAGTAGGGTAACTATAATTATAACCCATATTAGGGGACTTATAACCCTACCTATAACTTATAAGTACCCATGAACCTCGAAGTAGGGTTTAGTTTCAGTCTGTCTGTGTTTGTGTTGAGCTTCGCGGTCTAAAGAGTCAGCTTCGGGTCCCCCCAAATACCCGTTGCAAGGGCCCACTTAGGGTTTAGGGTTTAGGGTTTAGGGTTTAGGGTTTAGGGTTTAGGGTTTAGGGTTTAGGGTAAAGACTTCGTGGGTATTTAGGGCATGATGCAGGGCAGTTGGGAGGTTCAGGTAAGGCCCAACCTTTCTGCGCACTGAGAGCCCTGAAAGCTAAACCCTAAACCCTTGACCAAAAGCCCTCCCTAAACCGTACACCCTATTCCCTAGAGCCCTGGAAGCTTCGACAACTTAGGCGACCCAAGTCAAAAAGAGGAGCGATTGGGTTCTGAGCCTTCGTACGCACAACTGCAAAAACGGAACCCAGGAGGCTCTCGGGTTCAACTTTCAAGGTTTAGGGCTTAGGGTTCAAGGTTTAGGGTTTAGGGTTTAGGGTTTAGGGTTCTAGGGTTAGGGTTTTAGGGTTTAGGGTTCAAGGCTTAGGGTTTACGGTTTTGGGTTTGAGGGTTAGGGTTCAGGGTTTAGGGTTCAAAGTTTAGGGTTTAGGTTTAAATAACCCAGACACCCCTGCTTCTCAACCTTACATTCTCGAGGAGTTGATGCAGCCCTCGTTACCTAAACCCCCCACATCCACCCAAAGTAAGTAAAATAATGGCCCAAGACCCATAAAAGGCTATAATTCTACATACTTTCGGGG